ATCGAGATGGGAAATTCGCTTGCGTATGCCTCCAGGCGCTGGGACAGCCATATGGGACGCTTGGCCGGTTATGTCCCTTATACCTGCTCGCGATTACAAAATGGTAGTCAATATCTCCTGATGCAATTCGTTGATTAGGGAACAGCCTTCTCGTAATTTTATTGGTCCATTTACGATTTGCGTTGTGTCCTGGTCCGGATACCTTGTTTCGGTCTGGGTCGTTCAATAGCTCTCCGCTGGTAGGACTGAGTGGTTCGTTCATGAGCTGTACTGTATTTTGTTCCGGTCTGCTCCGATTTGATTGGTCATCCACTTCACCGGGCTCAAGAAAACCAAATCGCAACAAAACAAACCTTGTAGACCCAGAACCTGAACTGTTAAAAACTAAATATGTCAGGATGACCAACCACGCAAGAGGAGAACAGATCACAACGCAACACGCTCATGAATGAACCAATCGGAAACGCGGAAAAAGCTTTTCATTGAGTCCGTCTGGTACATAAGATATCCAGAGATCAATGCAGCACAGTTCGTAAACAGACCAATGGAATTGCAATGCAGCTTTTCTCCAATCAATTAGTCACATCAAGGGATACTGACTATTCGTTTACAGACCATATAAATGCCAGCAGATGTGGAGTGAATAAACATCCATGTGGGCACTGATGCTGTCCCCCCAAGTCGTCCGTAGACAAATTTCAAAACTGAGCGTACAGATCAACATCAAATCGACTCACTCCAGCTAACCATTTGTCCATATACGGCCATGCCGCAGATGGTATAGATGTCACTTTTATTGGTCTCGTTTCAATCTCATCGCAGTCGTGCATTTCGTCACCCATTTATGATGTAAGCCGTACATGCAAACCCCAACTAGGCAATCTACCAAAGCATTTTGTCGGGTCGGCGAGTACAGTGAACCGACGAAAGACAACATGCTGCAGAAAAGTCCTATCGTGAACATTTTCCTCTAGATGAGACACGTTATCTGATGAATAATTGTGGAAGAAATGCCGTATTGGTACTTTTTGGAGAAGATTTCAATCACAGAGAACTTTTTAAATGAGGTTGACCGGTAGGTAGCCTACTGGCATCATCATCGCGTATTGTTCAGGTGTTTCTAAGGGTTGGAACAGACTTCCGTTCTGCATTAACTAGAACTTGAAGAAACAGTTCTAAGAGCTTCCCTGGCGTTTTGATGTTGATTCACAGTGAATGGGCTGACAGCCGGTCAGTTCGCCCCCGCCCAAACTTGTGTGCCAGCGACATCCAGATGGCTGTGCTTATGGTCCATACTGCGCGTTGAATTGAGAGGAAATAAACCTCAAATTTCTTTATGCATATGCAGTCGCTAGTTCCTCAGGATGTTCTTTCAGGTGTCAGAATTTCCCAGCTTTCAAACTTACCTAAGGACTCGCTAACCTGCGGCATTTATGCTTGGGTTAGAACTATACCCTTCATTTTGGGATCTGATTATCCGCGTGACTTACCTATCGTGGTTAGCTGTGCACGAGGGTGTACTCAATTCTCTGGATCTTGAATGGTTCGAGAACTTCGGCATTTGTTATCTGACTTGATTACTGAACCCGTAGTAGTTTTGCAGGTATTGTAAGTGAAATGTGTACACAAACATGCGTCAATGTTCAGTGGCATCGTATGGAGGCCAAAATTCTGGAGCAACTTAACTTATTTTGAAATTGTGCTTCGATTGTAATTTAATTGTACATAAGCCCAGGACTATTTTCACAAAATGGTTTTATATGAAGGCTTTCATGAAGCGCAATAACAGGCAATTAGTCGAACAAGCGATAGAAAGCATCGTTGACCAAAGACGTGGAGAGCATTCATTTTATCGCACGCTAGACAAATCACTAAGTCTTCGTGAGTAGCACTCACACAGGAAGATAGTACATGACTGAGCCTCCCAACTGCGAGTCGGAAATAGCCTATCGATTTTTTCGGCTGCTTCGAACCCAACCAGAAGAGAAAGGTTATACGCCAACCTTTAGTCACATTTTCTGTGGTCATTGTTTTTCAGAAGTGGAATGGACAAGGCTTGAAAGAGAAACTAATAAGTGTGAGCGTCTTGTACGACTCAGATGACGTGAGCTTTGAGTCAGCACCAAAACGGCTAAGAGCAACTGTTTTTCACGGAAAACGCTCATTTTCAAAAGATGCCCAGGGTTTGAGAAAACTATTAATATGACATGACAAGTCACTATGAGCGTGAAGCTGTTGAAGAGGAAATAAATGGCTCGCATCGGTTGGTTGCGCTCTCCCCCAAATCTAACAGGAATTGAGCTGAGTGACTACACGTGAATTCAGCAACATTCTTTGATGAGAACTGTGGCCAGATATAAAAACCATTCACACGGAAACAGGCTTTGGCCTAGTCAATCATAAACCCTCTAATTACTAACCCGTCTGCGTCAGTGTGTGGGAATTGATATAAGTTCTGGAAATTGAAGTTGCCAGCACCAATTCCGACAGACGTTTTGAATTTGTCGCCAGATTTGCACGACCTTCAGTTAAAAAGCAACCGAATCATCAAGACAACGGAAGGCAGACACAATATTTCAAATAATGTTGTGTGGTGTAATAACTGTAGCAATATCGAATTAGCTACCACCGTTGGTTTTTCGTTGTCTTTTACACCAAATCCTGCAACTTTCTTGATTTTTTCTACAGTAATGAAACTGTACACCAGCCCAAGGTTGGCGACACCTGGTAGGTTTTACCGACTTTCTGTTTTGATGTGAATCCTGTTTTATGTGTGTGCGCTGATCTTCAGACAATCAGAAAACGACTGGGTAGACAATGGTGCGTTTGACAAATGTGGTTTTCAGCATCCATAGGAGTGCAAATACTTGGTCATCTACTGACCGGAAGCACTTTTGCATTGCCGCGTCAGTGGCACGGGTGGTTTTACTGGTAGATTCGACCGTTTGAAGGACAAATCAGCCTGTAACCATTATCACGTAACACAAATGAGGAGATTCCACCGATTCCTTTAAATACACAGCTACCAGTGAGAGGAAGAAGGCCTTCGCTGCGTTGCTATCTATTAGAAAACGCCAAGTGAAGAGTTGCAGACCATTGCACAGGGAAGAAAATCTCTCACATGCTCCCTGAACGCGTCTTCCTGAACTTTCATGGAAATTCATTGACTGCTGCTCAAGCGCAAGCAAATGAGACTCCACAAGTTCCGTAATAGATCTCCTTTTCCAGAGACGCGACGCGGATTTACGAGGAAACATACTACTCACATGCCCCATCAGTAGTACCCACCGTTACACCAGAAGTCAGAGGAACAATTCAACGCTAACTGGGTCCATCTGGACAACCACAAGGTTTTGAACAACAAAATACTCACAAAGAAAATGAAGTGTCAAACTAAAAACTGGAAGAACCCCTGAGTGGCACCTCGTGACCACGGCGAATATCATCCGCTGTTCTGCACAGATGAGGCAAGCCGTGCCAACCATTGTTGTTGTTCCTACATTGTTGTTCCTACATTCGGCCGTCGTTCGGGTCCGCCTTGTTTCACCCCTTTCACTACCTGGTAGTGCGAGCACTCAGTTAGCCAACTAGTCCTTCAACACATCAGAAATAACGACCAGCTTATTAAGAAAACGAATCAGCATTTCCCTGCATGTCCAATGTGACCAGCCATTCGCTTTAAGTTACATAATCCATCTTTGAGTTCCGGCTGGTGGGAACGAATTTCGCAAGAAGACCAAAACACAACCCAGTGTAGTAGTTCGGAAAGTTATGTGTATATTCCAGTTCGCTTCAATCAGACACTTGTGCTCTTACGCAATTCGTGAATTCAGTTTACTACAGTCCTGCCAGGGAACGGTGCGTACTATGGCAGATCAGGATGAGCGTGTTTTCCCAATAACTGTGCAAAATTAAAGTATTTGACAGGTATATATTCCTCATTAAAATGTAGGAGGATTCTGATGGTCCGCTGCAACTGTTTACTGTCCTGACTTTCAATTCAGTATTGGACAGTTTGTGGGATCGGGATTGCCCCAGGTCAACCACATACTCGCGGGTAAACAGCTAAACACCTTTTACCCGTCAGATGGTTGAGCAACTTTTCGCTGAAAGCATTTGGTTGCACTTGGTGGGCCATGCAAAGGAAGATTAAACTGCAAAAATCTGAGTTATTGTCATAAGTAGATTGGTCAGTAATATGGAGACCACAATGATCAGGTGTCCCTCGTGGAGCCAGTCAAGCGTGACAAAACTACTGAGGCTTTACTTACAGAAGCCACAGGGGCTACCGGAAACTGGCGGCTCTAAAGTAAGTTGTCGACCTCATGTAGTTGCTTGCTTTAGGGTCGGCTGCATTTCAGAATGAAACCTATTCAGCTTTCCATCAAAATCAACCTGAAATCGGTTCGTATGCTACCGGTGTAGATGTTCGGCAAAACAGGTAGGATTATTTTGCTTCCTGTGTAGTTCCGCACAAGAAATTCACCGAGTCTATGTTAGACTTAGATTTTGCAGTCAGTCTTCGTTGGCAAGGCTGTTCATGTGTTAACATAACTACCTTGTCTGCTGCGTTCATCCGCATTCAGCCCCACGTGAGTCCTAACTGATTGCATAATGAACCCATATATTGTCTTTACAGTTTTTTTCGAATTGCTAGCGAGTATGTTTAGGAACTTAAGATCAGGAATAACTTCTTCAGGAAAATGCTTATCAAAAGCGAAAACTGAAAACTGTTGGCTTTTAGTATGCTGAATATGTCTACAAATCCTAGGATGAGTGAGTTTGAAAGACGAGGCGATTAAAGATTGTGCCTGAACTACTTATGCTTTGTCAGTAGGACAAAAAAACAAACTCCCACTGGGGGATTCACCTCGCAAGGGAAGTCATTGATGGAAAAGAGCTAGGTAGTTTACAGCTGTTTCACCTTCAATGGGAATCATCCGTGTTGATTTCATGAAGTTGAATGGGAAATTCGGGCGCAGAACCTCCTGGCTAGTAGACGAAGACTAAACAAGTGTGCAACTAATTTGCGACCAATTCATTGGAAACTCTCTTTCCTCGTATTATAGAGTTGAGTGTGGTGCACTTTTCAGCTGACACATATGCGAAGTAGATTTTGTTGGCCTGTCAGACACTTCTTTAAGTACGACGAATTCATGATGAATGGGCAGTAGATCAGTAGAGGGAACTGAAATACAACAGGGAAGAAAGAATGTGTAATGTTCCGTTGGCTAAACTATGCTTTTTTGTTATGTCGGATGGAATGTCTAGGCAACTTCGTTTCACCTCAAATAGAGGTAACATCATGGTTTCTTTTCGGAGTGCAGTGTGGAGGTGCGTGTCCGGTTATCCATTTTCTCAGCTAAGCTACAGAACACGGGTTTTTGTCGGTGGCGGATAGCTGTGGTTTATGAAATCCAAGAACAGATTCACCCAGTTTGAGCATTGTTCTTCAACGGCTAGAACAGCCATACTGCTTGTTTGTTTTCGCTCAGACTGTTCAAAAACAGCTTTTTCCAAGACTTTCTGGTGCCTCATTATAGACTGTCACTATGTGACTCGTAAATTCGCTGGATTTTCCGTCAACACCGTTGAAACTGGTCAGTGGTCTAATACTGGTTCGCCAATTTGCGGTTCGTCACTTGGTTGTTTTATTTGTTGGTATCTGATCAGGTTACTGTCAATATTTTCGCAAACGACTTGCATGGGTTTCCTGGAATTGTGAGATGCATGTAGCTGACTAAGATGTGACGAGTGGCCAGCTCCAGGAATCCCATATGATTAACTCACTCTGACCAGTGGCTAAGTTGGTTTGTAGAATGGGGTTTCACACACCGATACATAATGAAGAGCACTTGTAGCCACAACTAGCCATCTGATAACCTCACAAAATCTGTAAGCGTACGTTTACGACGGGAGCTGGTGGCACACATGCGCTGTCCAGTAAGTTAAGAAGCATTATAACGTTTTTAAAAAAGTATTTCTTCCACGCTCACTGATAGCGCAGTTCCCGTCTCGAACATTATCGGCGTTTCCCTTTGTTCAATGATTACAGCTAACACGTGCTTGGATACGAGTAAGCTCTAGTTTGCAAGCCACACACGACAGGTTTTCCACAGCGAGCTTCTTATCTTATTTCAGTGACGCCACATGTTTAATTACCAAAGAGCTGTTTGGCAGGTGTGACCGGTGCCACGAGTTATCCCAATTGCTTCGTAAGCTCATTAGTCAGTCTTAGTGTTTTATGTCAGTCTAACCGCCATGTGCAGTACTGGGCTTCAAACCTTCAAGTTTGTCACAAGTCAAACACATCATACGATCCATTCTACTCATTCCACACTCAGCAACTGAGTGTCAGTACCGGGACTGTTGCAAGAGGGCACCCAGGAATTATGCACATCAGAGACTCCTCTGCAAACGTGCAACATGCTCGATGGATTCGTCACCCAAATTCTGGAGGTAAACTGGAGGATAGTGTTTACCTAACGAGGGTCTGAATCCACACAACAAATGTTTCAAAAATGCTGATGAATTTTCTCTTCACCAAGGTAATGTCGACATTCCGAACCTTGAATTATCAACCCTGGGAGAATAGTCCTCTTTGAGTTTTGTTGTGATCGGAACTCATTAGACTGACGGAGCAACATTCGAACATCGGATACTCAGGTTCAAAACCCACACTCTGTACTTTCAAAACAAGTGATAACTTGTTCGCACGGAATATACAAATTCGAATGTTCCTAACCATGCTTGGCGCATGAATCGAAAAGCGATAATTCTTCCGGGATGGTTCAAAATTACTCTGAGTCCTCACAGTTGATTCCATATACCTATCTGCTAGCTAGTGGTCGGACTCCTAAACCATTCTCACGCGTACAACAAATGTATCAAGATGCACTTAAATGATGTGAAAGTTTAATGATCCTAAAATAAGGAGAACAAATTTGAATTTCGTAGTGTACTACTCATAGGTTTGCAGAAATTTCGTCGTGTGAGTAGTGCCTTACGAATATACATTTATGGCGATATCTCGAAGGTCGTCGCGACTGAAAAATGAGGCGGCCTGGTGCAGCACATTCAGTTGCACATTCAGTCACAAATGAGAGATTTAGGTGGGGTCCACGTGAGTCTCTCGAAAAATCAAGTAGTTTGCCAGGTGAGTGTATTTCGCTAAATTTGAAGTTCTTCCAAAAGTGGAGAAAACTCAGGGATTACAAGAAACTGACGTGGGGCGAGTTTCTCTCTTGAAAAGTTTGTTAAGGTCATTGATAATCAAGGAGGCTGTTTACAACAGACACGAGTTTTCTGATTTTAAAAGTAGCCTTCCAGATGAAGGGCTGATTGTGTTAATTTTACATCAGTTGATTAGTTATGAATTATGTATCGAGGGTACCTTTCTCGCAGGTGTTATATTTTCGGTTGTCTGAGGAGATATAGCCAGGCACTGCATGCAATTACACAAGTGCTACTGGCTGCGTGAATGTACGGTCGCCGCCAGTTTCATTAAACGTCGATGAGCTCACTCCAGGAATCCTTATTCAGGAAAGCGGCACCTGTCAGCCCACCAGAGTGTACTGGTCGCCACGCAAACGGCATTTCGCCTGTTGGTGGTTTCCACTGAGCGCAAGACTCAGCAGAAAGGTTCCGCGAAACAGATGGTATTCTGACCACCCTGGTTGTGGTGGTCGATCTTCTGTGCTGCAATACTGACTGGGGCTCAGTTTCTA